TTGTTTGGAATAACATGTTCTAAGCAGATGAGGCAAAGATAAGAGTTGTTTGGCCACAGAAACAGCTGATTTGTTCACTAGAACCTCACTCTTACAATAAAACAACCGGGCAGATAAAGCTGAAGTTGGCAGTTTTTGTTTGCAACAGAAGTCAGGAAATCTATGTTAGGTTTTTAAACAGTCACTCATAAGATGCATACACTTTGAAAGTGAGATTTACAAAAACAGCTTCTTTACATTTTTCTCTTTCTTTGTAGATTTACAACATTGTTGGAGAAATAAGAAAAAAGATTAGGTATCTTTATTGACTTATTTGGTATTAATGCATCTGAAAAATTTTCAAAGCTTTTCACTTTTTCCACATTAGTTATGTTATAGCCCCTTTAATCAAAAGTAAAAAGTACAGGTTCTACATTTGTATTTAAGTACAAAAAGTCAATTTAAGTTTTTTGCCTTGAATTATACAAAATAAATTGTGAGTTAAAAATTAAATAGATTTTGAAGCAAAATTAACACAAACATATAAAAATCCAATAAAGGAGGATTGGCTGGGGAATTTTTGCTTTTCAGGATCTGATCAATGATTTACGACATTTTTCATACAGTAAATTACGCTAAATAAGTAATTTTAATTACTCACTGGGCTTCTGAGTATTATGTTCTGGGTATCATTTCTGTCATATCCATCAGGTAGGAAAATTGGTTTATCATTTAGGATTTGGGATTTTAACTGTACATACTTTCATGCTATTGGAAAAATCTGCACACACCTTCAAAAAAGTAACCTAAACATGAAGCAAAAATATACTCCTAGAAGAACACTATCTCTTCATAACTATTTGGCAAAATGTTCATTCATGCAATCAGCACCGCCAAAAGCACTGTAGTATGTATGCCAGGCCCTTTGGTGGTGCTGTGACACTGCCATAAAATACAGCAAAACCAAATGCAAAACAGATGGGCGTTAAACGATGTAACAAGGGTGCAAAGATGTGAATCACTGTTATATAGAGAATTTGACTAATGATGCTATTATTTAGAAAAATGCTCGGTTTGCATAAACTAACAAAGTGAAAGTGGTATTTCCTTGTAAGAGTTACTGAAACAATTGATGTACATTACCATCGAATGAATTAGGGGATTAAAAAAGAAACTGGAAATCTTCAAATAATTAAAGGAAAAAAAATATTTGTCGAGTAAAAAGTAAGCTAAGTGTTTACAACTTCAAGCTTTCTCTCTACGATTCTTTCCTGAGAGTAGACTCGGAACAAACACTTTTTTTAAGATGACTTTCCAATTTATATATAATTCATAACTATAATACATGATCGCAGATTTAACAGAATGTTAATCTTACTGACACTACATAGGCTGCACAGATAGAATGGCAGTGATTACCATGGGGCACATTAAAGAAGCTTTTTATACATCTCCAGGGTCAAACTCTGTCACATCATCACAGCACACATGTTTGTAAATGAGGATGCACACTGACAGAGCTCTCTGTCTTAACTTCATNGGCAATTAAGCGATGAGTTAAACGGGCAATTAAGCGATGAGTTAAACGGGGATAGCATAGAACATTTTGTGTCCACAGGTCCAAAGAGTTATGCGTATCAGACCCGTCAGAAAAAAGTGGTTTTGAAAGCAAAAGGCATAACACGAAACATGCAGGCTTCTGAAAATGTCAATTTTGAGAGCATGAAGAGGTTGGTTGATGCTTTTCTCCAAGGTCAGGAGACTACTTCTATAGGGATTCATCAGCAAACCATTAGATGTGATAAAAGCGGGTTTCACTTGAAGAATGCATAATTCATGAAAACATTTCGGGTTGTGTATGACAAGAGAAGACTGTTTAAATGAGGTAAAACACTTCCTTTTGGCTACTAGATTCTATTGAAAAAAAAAATGACGTGACAAATGGGGACACCATATGTTAAAATGAATGATCTATGGCTTTTTATGAATGATTTATGGCTTTATTATTTTGTGGCTTAATTACTCTATTACTTCTATGACTTCAATACCCCCTGCTCCCAACTCTGTAACTCAAACCAGCTTTGACTGATCTCTGTAAACGAGCAGGTATAAAGGGGCAGCCTTCAAGTAGAGCGTTCTGACCAGCTGTCTCACAGTATGGTGCGGGTGCTGCAACGCCGCAGACTGGAAGAAGGTGAGGGAAGTAGTGAGAACTGCAGAGAAGTTCATTGGGCCTCCTTTTCCCTCCATAAAACACATTCTATCCCAGCACTAACAAATCCATGGAAACTTTTTTGCATGGATTATAAACATTTACAATATTGAATTGACATCAAATTGACATTGACAACTCTGTAATTTTTTTTATGCTCTCATACACTTTAATCACAAAATAAATATTTGGTTTAAGCCATGATTCTTGAATACACATAAATTATGTATTTTCTCTAAATTCAGTGATAAATCCTTTGAACTCCTGATCATTCACAACAAAGCTATGTAAAATGTAAATCCCTTTATTGTCACAAAATTGGAAAATTCATTCTTAGCATTTAACCCATCCCCTTGGGCAGCAGTGGGCTGCCATTGTGTTTGCTCAGCCTCAGGGACCCAGACAGAATGAATGGCTCTTAACAACGAGCTATCTCTGACGGGGCATTTAGAATGGCCTTGATCTAAGAACTCTGCATTATGTTGATATGGCTGAAGCCAGGGATGTCTGATGTAATGCAACATGTGAGGATGTGGCAGGGGTATGCTGAGGGGTAACATCTGGAGAATGAGACATGATTAATATGCATTACAATGATTGGAATGTATGGCTGTTAAATTATGTGTAACTTATGCATTTACGCAGCCTGCAAACCTTTGCTGCATCATTTAGTGTCTTTGTAATGCTGCCACCATGTTTGATTTATTTATTTTTTTGAAAACCTTGTTTAATGCTTCGTATTTTTGTAAGATGTTCCTCTCAGTAGAAATTTCTTCTGCGCTCAGGAATATGATTGGTCTGCTACTTTGAAGCCGCCCCTTTGTACGGTAAGTGCTGGTTCACAGATCCATGATTAGTCAAATCTGGTTTGATTTAGCGAGTTGATAACCAGCATTACTGTAGATTAAATAAATTGGATAGACTGGAAGTAATCCCGCTACATGGTGCTTGCTTCTTGGTACAGGCCTCTGATCAACTGGTCCTGCAAAGAGAGAGAGAAAAAAAATACAAACTGCAGAAAACAGCCTAGTGGATCTAACAATATGATCCGCTTAGATGTGGAGAAAAACGTTTTTAAACACCATTACATATGTTTTACAAAGAAGATTCTGCTAGTTAGTTAATTGATTTATTGAGCTCAAACTTATGAAGAGCAGAAAATACAACCACACTAAAACACAGAAAAGCTCCCTCTCTCCAACCATTTTATGTTCTGACATCTCCCTACATCCTGTCTGGTCTCCGTGCATCCTGTCATAAATTCCCCTTTAAAGGTCAAATGTCAGCTGTCAGGATGGTAGAACAGAATAATGCCTTGAAGAGATAAAGGTATACAGGACGATCTTTTTTTTTTGCAGCTGGATCATCTAAATAAGTGGTCCTCCTAATTGTCATTCATTCTGGTGATATGTTTAATTAAGGCCATCCTACGTGCATGTCCCATTGGCTATCTTTTCTGTGCATGCGCACTTTCAGCTGCCTATATGTGATGAGCTAAGGTTTCAGACAATCTTTGAAGCTCACCTTTCTGACCACGGTACGTAAGAGAAAAAGAAAAGAAATGCCTCAGAAGCTTTGCGCGGAGAGCTCTCCTTGCAAAGCATTCTGGGATTTGCTGTCACAGCAGCCTGCTGTCGCTATGGGTCGTCACTACTCGGCAGCTGCAACTAATAGCAAAGATGACGCAGCCACTGTGTGGTAAAGGAGGAGCAAAAAGCAGTGATCATCTGTCCAAATGGTCAGTTAACTGAGATTGCTATAAATTCCATTATATAGTCCCTGCTATATGTGGCACAGTTTGCTTGTATGAGCTATGAGAACAACACATTTTAAACAGGACATGCACAAGCAGAAAGAGCTCTTGCATGGTCTTTTATGTGCATTTTCTTTTTAAGTGGAGAGAGCAGGTTATTTAAAAAATCTGCCACAATAACTTTAAATTATTTAGCGTTGTTAGTGGTATTAAGTCATTTAACACAGCTTTTTACGGTCAATTTTGTGTGCCCTGTGCTTATTGGTTAATAAAGGGGTGAGAGTGAGAGCAATGTGATTTTTATGTGTATGAAACACGATTATATAAATGGAAGTGCAGAAATTTAGATTTAAACAGGAGTGCGTGCAGAGGGCTAATGGGTGATGCCACAGCAGATACCAATAAAGGAGCTATTCAGACGAAGACAGTCATGTTCAGCAGCAGCGTCCTGGAGCAGTCTCCTATCTAGCAAACTAAAACGGTAAGAAAATTTACTTTGCCTTTTTAACAAAGCTGGAGCTGAAAAATAATGATATTGAAATTAAGTCTTAGGCATGAGTGTGAGCGTTTAAAGATGGAGAGATGAACAGCTTTCCAAGGACCATTGTGCTAGGATGAAACTTTTTTAAAGTTATGTTTACACCCATTGCTTTCCTTCCGATACTTCTCTAAGTGTGTAGGGCTACACATTATCACAGGGGCTCCCAATTTTTTATTTCTTTGTCTGTGACCCTAAAAATAACAATGCAAAAAACCTTTGATTCTCTAAAAAAAACATATAATTACTTAATGATATATTTATTTGAACATATAAACAGTAAAGGATTATATAATTGTTTTTACATATTTGTTTTTTAATGATATTAAAAAAAACATATAAGACACCTTTCATCAAACTCGAAATCACGCCCACATTTGAAAGTGACAGCCGGATGTTCTGCCCTCATCAATAAAAAAAAATTGTGAAAGAAATTCATACAAAAATTAACAATCGGTTATAATGATAGCTGTTATTATTAAAAGAACATTATTATAATTTTTTTATTATTTCTAATTATTTTTATATTATTATTTGAAACACTGCATCCTCTAGGCCCCCCTTCCCCCCACCATCTTCCTCATTTAGTAACCATGGCAAATTTATCTATTTTATTATGCATTCATATCTATATATCTAGTATATATTTGATCTCAGGGATCACACCATAATCGTTGTACTACTTTAGCCCTTCCGGAGGGGACCTAACCCCAACTTTTGGAGCGCCTGACCTAACAGAACAGTAAAATAGCTAGCAATAATGTCATCAGTGAAAACATGAAACAATAGGAACTAGAATGTTAATCTTGTTTTTAACCATAACATCTACAACTGCTCATTGTTTAGTGTTGAATAAAAAACAGCATATTTTTCATGTAGAAACTGTAAATATTCTTATGGACAGTGAAGGGAAATTATTGCAGAACAAACACTTCCTCTAAAGGCTGACACAATAATTTAATAAGATTTTTTTTCTGGCCATTTATGTAACTCCAGACCAGTGTGCGAAATACCTGTCAATATTTGAGGGGTCCCCATTTCCCGATTGTTGCGCAATACCAATCTAAATTTTCTCAATATGCAGTAGGCCTATAACATTTCAAAGTCAAAGTTAGCTTTAATGTCAATTCTTCAGATTCACCAGACATACAAGGACTAGAGAGGACGTTCGTTTCTCATTCACCAGCAGTGAAACAGATAAAGTGCACAGGCACATCAGATAAGATCCGTT